GCGACAGAGCCTTCTTCATAGCTGCCCCCTCCCTCTGGATCTCTCTCCCCAAACAAATCAGAGACTGTATTGATCCATCCAACTTCAAATCACTGATCAAATCCACCTTTTCAGAAGTGCTATTTTCTTTCCCTTTTAACTTATGTGAAGTGTCTTTAAGTTTATGGAAAAGCACTAAATATATATAATAAATTATAAATTAAATTTATTATCATTATTATAAATAAATGCTGCTGTTGCTCCATAACTGCTGGACGTGCACAGTGAACAGTTTGCTAACAAGTTAGTCATATCAGCTTAAAGAGTGATACTATCAGTGTTGTCTTTACAGCTTGTTTCTGCTGCCCAAGTAGCAAGAAATGACCGAGCATATGAGCAACCAGTGCGTCTTGGTCAAGTTGTTAATCTACTCCATCCTGTCAATGATCTGATCCCACCCTCTCTCTATAATTGGCTGGACATTGGAGAGTCTCACACTATTTCACAGGTCAAAGTTGAATCATATTAAACTCTGTGAGAGATAAAGCAGATGGGAACAATTCAGTAAACAACTGAATTTCATCCACTTTTATGTTGTTTGTGAAATATTAAAAAATTGAATGGATTCATGTTCCCCTCAAGATGAAGTGTAACCACTTTGTGATTTTCTGACTAATCACATCAAAACTGTAATTTGTCCAATAGTTTGCTTTATCACCAGAAATGCACTTTTTTTAAAACGTTGATTTTGTACTGTAATTTATGTTTAGTGCTAATTAGCAAATGTACTAAAGTGGTGAACATAGTTAACATTATACTTAGTATCAGCATGTTCGCATAATCATTATGAGCACGTCTGCATGCTTTAAGCATTTAGAATTTGCAATTAAGATCGGCACAATCTTAATTACAAATTGTTTATTATAAGGCATGAAATGGTTGTTAAACAATGAATAAATGAACATTTTTGGAACACTATTTTATACCAAACACCACCATAATTGACCTCAAATGATACAACAATACTAATAAGTAAATAAATAAATAAATAAAATAATAATAATAATATAAATAATGATTTGTATTTATTTAATAACTGGTTAATTATTTCATGAAATTGAAAAAAAAACCCTGAAATAATACGTTTTATTACTGCATGCTGTTCCTCATTATGGAGAAGAACTATATATGTATGTTTGTATATGTAACATATATATGGAGGAATGTATTTCAGCGATATGACTGACTGTAAGAATACTGAAAAGGTACAGATTACATTTTACAGAGACGTGTGAACAAGACACAGGTACAGTGGTGGCACAGTGAGTGTTTTCGTTTGGTGTTTGGTGTCCATGCACATCGGTGCACAAGAGAGCTATTGTTTCCAAACTGTACATAAACACTGAGTGTGTTGAGGGTTGTTAAAGGCCATCAGAGCCAATCTCATCTGCCTTTCTCACTGTCTTTAAATGCTCCACAAATGCTCCACATTCAGCTAAATAAATGCCAGATAATCAAAGCTGAAGTTATCCTGGAAAAGGCAACCTGTTTGTGGCTCTGGTGTTAAAGGGTTAACGGGGCATAATTTATTAATTCATTAATTGTATGTAATATTTGGATTGTATTTATGGACTTTACTTAGTTATTGGTTATTGTCTGTTGTTTGTTGGTTATGGATATACTGCTGGCTGTATAACAAATTGTCCCTCGGGAATAATAAAGATTCCCATGAACCCTGCAAGACCAGCTTCTCACAGGATGATACTTAAATTCATCATCTGATGCATACATATATACATATATTTAAACATCATATTAAATTAAATTATTAAATTTAGTCAAAACTTAAAGTTTATTTTAGTAAAATGAATTAAACTCAAAACAGATAACAATGGTAACTATTTCTAACTTGTTAAAAGAAAGTGTGTGTAAAAAATGTGTAGGCCTTACATGAATGTGACAGTGTGAATGAATCACTCTATTGACAGTAAATCTTTCACCTTTTCCTTGTTTCAGTTTCAATTCTGTTGTTCCTTACAAAGTTTAACTTTTGTTTTCAACAAAACAGGTGTAGTGCAACTGTGGGTGTGGTCAGGTACGCAATGAAACTTGGCATGGAAACAACAGAATTGATTGGCCGAGGGAAGGAGTTATATAGAGCCAACATTCATTCCAACTTTCAAAAAACATTTGTGTCTTGTGATATACCTTACTTGTAAACTGAGTTGCAGACCCTGACGGGACTGGTAAACCTACTTACGAACAAACCTAAATTTTATATATATAATTAGAGGCAGTAGTACGAAATAATAGATTATTTCTGTTGAAATTGTTCAGCTAGCTTTGCCAGCCCCTGCCAGGGTAGGCTTTTGCTGGACATCAAGACAATGGTAAGTCACAACAATTTTTAACCAAGTCTCTTCCTGTTTTTCAAAATGTATTATTTTAAATATATGTTTTATATTGTCATTAATAAAACTGTCCAATAAAGTCTCAGCATGATAACTACATTTAAAGGAATTAAAATTTTGACTTATAAAAAAGTTTTTTTTATTGTTAATCTAATATATTTTCTCTCTCTTGTTTGTAGCCTTTGACCATGAAGGTAAGTGGTTTCTCTTTCCTTGAAAATATTTTGGATATCCAACCAAAAAATATTTAACAACATTGACAATAGTTTGCAGTTGCTGAAATAATACATTATTGTTTTAGTTATTCCACATAAGAGACATGCTGTTTGTTAAAAGTGTTTTTAACCATCTAGAACACTTGAGGCTACTTCTGAGAACATAATTTATACTCACTGTATACTGTTTTGGCATTGAGAGGAGGGGTCTGAGGGGAGGGGCAAGTAGAGCGTGGTTTGCATATAATTTGCATATCCGTATGCATACTGAAGCATACTTTTGCATGTGAATAAACATGTAACTGGCAGAGAAAAAAAACAGACTTACTTGCGTTCCGGGAAAGAGACATACTTCTTCAGTATGCCCAGGGGTGGACTGGGACAATAATTCAGGCCGGGAATTTGTTACCATCCCAGGCCAGGTTAGGCCGGGTTAAATAGAGGTTAAATGAAATAATATAATAGAAGGATTTCAATATTCATATAATTTATTATGTTGTGTCTATGTTAATTACACGCAACTTGGTGTGTGTGTGTGTGTGTGTGTGTGTGTGTGTGTGTGTGTGTGTGTGTGTGCCTGCAGTGCTGTGACAGAGAGCCTCAGAAAAAGAGAGGAGTGTTTGTGCCAAACGTTGCTGCTCAGTCTGTGTGAGCTTCAGCGAGGCAGATACCCTAATGAGCCGCACGACGGATTGTTTATTTCAAAATCAAGCGCGACCCGAACCGAGCCTTTGGTCCCGACCATCGGCAATCACAGAGCGGGCCGGGAAATGTGTACTGAGTATGCTGATATGCAAATTATATGCAAACTATGCTCTACTTGCCCCTCCCCTCAGACCCCTCCCTCTCAACGCCAAAACAGTGACAGAAAGTTGAAACTGAAAATCAGTGACACTGAAAAAAAGCTGACATTGTAAAAAAAATCTGTCGCTGAAAAAAAAAGTGACATGAAGAAAAAATCTGAAGATTGTCATTGAAAAATACAAAAAAATCATATGTAAAATAATAAGATTTTAAGATTTTAATTATTTTAATTAGTTTCTTTTTTCAGTGCCAATACTTGTTTCAATGCCAATACAACTGTTTTCAGTACTGGTTTTATTTTCAATGCCAGTTTTTTTTTTTTTGGATGCCAAATTTTAAAGTCACCGTCCTGGCTCCATAAATTTATATCCAGTAAACTTTCTTATTGATGCTAATACATTTTTCCCCACTTAGCCGGACAGAAACAATGATTTCGAAGGAGTTGGAGAAGAGATGTCGTCAAACAGTTTGACAGAGAAAGAGCTCACACCACCCGAGAGGTACACTCTAAAAAATAAAATGCTGTATTTACTTAATCAAGTTATTGTAACTGGTCCCATGAAACTGCCGAGATAAGTAAATGTGAAAAGATGGAATCAGTTATGGAGTTAGTAAGTAAATCTAACAACCATCGTCACTTCAGTAAATGTTAAATTATATAATAATTAAAGAATGACGCACTTAATAATGTTTGATAATAGCCAATATTTTTAACATTATTAATTTACCACAGTTAAGTTATATTTGTCCCAATTGGGGCATTTGATGGCTTTACTAAAAGTCTACATGAAACAGAAATCAGAGTGCCATTTCCACATATTTATGTATTTCCTGTAAAAACAAGCAGCTAGGGAGGGACTCAGATCTGTTAGTTCATGCTTACATAAGAACACGTTTGTTTTACAGGAAGACAGAATAAATATATTTTGATAGAAAAATACAAAGAAATTGAGTTTTTGTAAAAAAGAAATTGGCATACATCGTTCAATAGGGGTACAATATAACTTATTAAAATTAAATTTTTTATTTCATCTGGACTTTAATATTATTGAATTTTATATTTTATGTAAAGTTAAATGAGTCAAATGTATCAAACTTCAACTGAGAGCTGGCACTTCCTGTACCAAGAGGCCTTGTTGCAGTGGCCATGGGTTCAACTCCCACCTGTGGCAGTAGTTAACTATATCAACCTTGGTCACCGCCCTCAACAGTGGAGGAACAAATATATTGCAAGCATTTGTCTGCTCCTGAGAGGATTCAACACGCTGCACACGTGTAGTACCAAATAGTGGGCCTATATCTTGAAAGAGATACATTCAAAAGACATCAACTTTATAAATATCAACTTTGCAAACTACTGAGCCAGTTTATGAGGTACTGATCCAATGCAATCCAAAACAACAGCTGTGATACAATGTATCTGTGCCTTCCAAACCTGTTTCAAATCACTGTTGAAAAACAAATATGTTTTATTATGATTCATATATGGTTGACGTTTGGTTAAGTTTAGGCTCAAAAATGACTTGGTTCTGTCACTTTTCTTGGGACGACAGTCTCTCTTGACGTGTTGTTGTACCTTTTCATTCTCCAGGGAAGAAGACCATCAGCAAGAAGATCCTGGAGGGGAGAATGATCCCATTTCTAAAATAGGCCTATGTGGATTTGCTGAGTGTCACCCCATGCTAACTTCAGCTGTCATTATCAATAAAGGCAATAAAAGGCCAAAAAAAAAAAGAAATCCCAGCAATTCAAGTCATACACTAATATCAGAATTTCTGGATACAATTGATTTATTTCGTAAAATTTATTTCAATACTGTAAATACTAATAAATCACATTTACAGTCCCCCCATAAAGTTAAAAGAAATCGGCCAAAAATTAAGTGGCGCATTTTGGAATTGTTTTTGAAAAGAGTGTCTGCTCGTGGGCCCTTACATACTCCCCCAATATATGATCATGAGAAGAATAAGGGGAAGGAGAAACAATATGCATCTGCTTTTCTCGTATTGAGAAATGGTGAATGTGTGGATTTTCCCGAGGTTAAACCAGTTCATTCAAAAAAGACATCTGAATGTACGAAACACAGCGAGGAAATTTTAATTGGAGAAATTGATGAATATCTTCGGAGCAATGTAACGAAAGTGCAAAGTATTTCCTTTTATACAGTGAATAGCCCATGTTTAAAAAGACATGGGAAGGAAAAACATATTCCTTGTTGTATGTTACAACTTATAGACAAAGCTTATCAGTGGTACAATGAATATGGGATTATTACTTCCGTGAGATTCAGAAACTGTTGGGGGCCATTTACACCAAGTCTCTTTAAGTCTCTCGAATATTCCAACATCTCATCTCGGAGCTGTATTTTTTTCGGATATTTTAAAGAATTCAAGAAAACCCCCTTTGAATTAGACAGCAAGTTTCAGAAGAGTTTCAGAAATAAAGTTAAAGCTGATGGTATCTTTGAGACACGGTCTGATGATACCATCTATATAGATAGAAACAAACTAAATTCTGCTATTAAAGATGCTCTTGGTGATCTTGTGAAACTGGGAACAAGTTCACATACTTTTAAAGAACATATGCTCCGTGGAGAGGAATTAATTTCCTCATTGGAATTTCCTGCATTAGTGCAGAATAAAATCTTTGAAATTTTGAGAAAGAACTGGAAAGAAATGGTTGAAAACGGTTTTATGTCAGTTATTACAAAAGAAATAACAGCAGATCTAAACACTGCAACAGTTCACGCCTTTCTAGAATTTCAGACATCTTTGGGGAATAGCAGCCCTTTCCATCTTTATCAGATCCCTTAACAAATACCAATATGTCGAATTGATTAAAAAGGACCGTAAAACATAAACTGTAGTTATCAATTACAATTACTGTTTGTTGTTTGATTGGTCTATGAATAAATATTTTTAAACTGAGACTCTGTTTTGTTCCTTCATCACAAACAACATGTATATTTTGCTTGCTTGAATTCTAGTTTCCACAGCTTATGCTTACTATTCTGTGCACATCAATTCAAGTCCATTGCCTGCTTTTCACCATAGAATATCTGAGCATTTAGCAGCTAAAAAGCCAAGACCAAATGGAGTGAAGGAGAGTGAATATTGGACTTGGATTCATCCTGTTGGCTCAAACATAACTTAAAGTCCTTCTCCTCACTCACAAAGTCCCCCACAACCAGGCCCCCTCCCACCTTGCAGACCTGCTCCATCGCCACATTCCTTCCCAAAGCCTCCGCTCTTCTGATGCCAACCTCCTGTCTCCACCACTGAGGACCAAGCATCGTACCTGGGGCGACAGAACCTTCTTCATAGCTGCCCCCTCCCTCTGGATCTCTCTCCCCAAACAAATCAGAGACTGTATTGATCCATCCAACTTCAAATCACTGATCAAATCCACCTTTTCAGAAGTGCTTTTAATAATTAATTAATTGTTGAGTGTTGTAGATATAGCTATAATTTCTCAGTGTGTTGTTTTTTATTACTATTTTCTTTTCCTTTTAACTTATGTGAAGTGTCTTTAAGTTTATGGAAAAGCACTAAATATATATAATAAATTATAAATTAAATGTATTATTATTATTATTATTACTATAAATAAATGCTGCTGTTGCTCCATAACTGCTGGACGTGCACAGTGAACAGTTTGCTAACAGGTTGGCCATATCAGCTTAAAGAGTGATACTATCAGTGTTGTTTCTGCTGCCCAAGTAGCAAAAATGGCCGATATGAGCAATCAGTGCGTCTCGGTCAAGTTATTAATCTACTCCATCCTGTCGTTGATCTGATCCCACCCTCTCTCTATAATTGGCTGGATATTGGAGAGTCTCACACTATTTCACAGGTCAAAGTTGAATCATATTAAACTCTGTGAGAGATAAAGCAGATGGGAACAATTCAGTAAACAACTGAATTTCATCCACTTTTATGTTGTTTGAGAAATATAACAATTGAATGGATTCATGTTCCCCTCAAGATGAAGTGTAACCACTTTGTGATTTTCTGACTAATCACATCAAAACTGTAATTTGTCCAATAGTTTGGTTTATCACCAGAAATGCATTTGTGTTTGCTAATTCTCAAACAGCACGTCTGCATGCTTTAGGCATTTCGAATTTGCAATTAAGATCGGCACAATCTTAATTACAAATTGTTTATTATAAGGCATGAAATGGCTGTAAAACAATGAATACATTTTTGGAACACTATTTTATAAAAATTATACAAAAGAACAAACAAACAAAAAACATAAAAAATAAAAATGTAATTACTTTTACTTATAAACATCAAAAAAATATATTTTTATTTATTTAACAACTGGTTAATTATCTTATTAATGATTGAGATTACTGCATGCTGTTCCTCATTATGGAGAAGAACTATACATGTGTGTTTGTATATGTAACATATATATGGAGGAATGTATTTCAGTGATTTTACTGACTGTAGGGTTAGGATACTGAAAGGTACAGATTACATGTTACAGAGACATGGGTGAACAAGACGTAGGTGCAGTGAGTGTTTTCGTTTGGTGTCTGGTGTCCATGGAGGATATCGGTGCACAAGAGAGCTATTGTTTCCAAACTGCACATAAACACTGAGTGTGTAGAAGTTTGGTAAAGGCCATCAGAGCCAATCTTAGTTATTATCTCATTGGTTATTGTCTGTTGGTTATGGATATACTGCTGGCTGTATAACAAATTGCCCTTCGGGAATAATAAAGATTGAATGACATGAACCCTTGGACCCTGCAAGACCAGCTTATCACAGGATGATACTTAAATTCTTGTTGACACCCAGTTTCTGTCACACAGCCTCGAAAAATAAAAATAAAATAGTTTTGCCATCATATGACACTATTTCTGAAAGCGGTTGAGCTGGGTCGTTGGTCTAAAGTTAAATTAAAGTAAAGCCAGTTCCTGTTGGCATTAATGCAGTTTGTGCATGTGGACAGTGAAGCTATACATACATATATCTTATATATGGAGGAATGTATTTCAACGATTTTATTGACTATAAGGATACTGAAAGGTACAGATTACATGTTATTGCAAAATTTTTATTTCTCCTACTACTTAATTATACTGCCCGTAAAATGTAGGTTTTTAGTTGGCAGGTTTACTAGCCCCAGCAGGGTGAAACAATTTTAGAAAGGAAAGGCTGTTGGCTGTGTGTAAATCTTAGCCAAATTTCATTGTGTAGCCTATACAGAGGCTGGGATGCTGTTTTTCAAGTTTAAATCTTGACGTAAGCACAAATGTGTGTTTGTAAGTGTTAATAGAATTGATTTGAAAGTTGAGAATTGATAATGAATAAAAACAATACAAAGATCACGCTGGCCCTCAGTTACCTAAAAGAAACATAGATTTAAAGAAAAGGTAAACAAACCAGGGGATCGTCACATTTTCTCACCTTATTTCCCCTCACTGAATAATCTGAAATCTTAATAATCCTATAATCTGAAAACAGATGAGTAAGATCTCAACTTCATTTCTCTCCGCTACTCCCTCTGACTTTATGTAACGGTAATACCTCATGGAAGAGTGTTATAAACAATGATATGGTCAAAACATATAATAAATTAAACATCAAAACAGATAACAATGATAACTAACTCTAACTTTTAACACTGTTTAAAAATGTATACATCAATGTGGCAGGCAGCTTCACTGTGCTGAATTGCAATGGGAAGTTAAATGTGGCTATATTATTTTCCATATCTATTCATACAGTAAATCTTTCACCTTTTCCTTGTTTCAATTTAAGAAATGTTTTCAATTCCGTTTGTTTATTAAACAGGTGTGCTGCAACTCTGGGTGCAGTCAGACTACGCTATGGCTTGATGAAACTATTTTTATCCTCTTAAAGTGACTAATCTCTTATTGCCAAGTTTAACATGTACTGTATGTGGAGGCTAAAAGGCTGCTTTTCAAGTTTAAATGGTGGCGTACCAATGCGTGCTGTTCAATCAGACAAAGTTAACAAGCTGGTGAACATAGCGGGCAAGTAACTTTCATTATTTCAGTTCTGGTCTGACCACACCCAAGGTTGCATAACACCTGTTTTGTTGAAAACAAAAGTTAAACTTTGTAAGGAACAACATAATTGAAAGCATTTCTTAAACTGAACCAAGGAAAAGGTGAAAGATTTACTGTAAATAGAGTGATTCATTCACGCTCTGTCACATTCATGTAAGGCCTACAATTTTTTTTTTTTTTACACACTTTTTTTTACACACTTTTTTTTAACCAGTTAGAAATAGTTACCATTGTTATCTGTTTTGAGTTTCATTACATTTGGTAAAAAATACTTTATGTTTTGACTACATTTAATAACACTCTTCAATGAAGTATTACATAGAATATTGACTGCGCCTGCCACATGCAAGAGAAAGATGAGGGAGAAACGGGCGTTTGCATTATATGCTATAACTGAGTATTGTTTTTAGTTTTATTAGTTTTATTCAAACCCAGTATATAATTTATTATTAATAATCTTCCTTTAACCGTTTTTCTCCAATGTCAACATCATAATGCTCAACAATTTTTAAAAGTTACTCTTTTGTACAACTATTTAAAAGCTCATCGGACGGGGACTGAACAAAACTATCAAAAGTAGCTGTACCAGTACAATTTTGATCACTGCGATGCCATACAAATAAAGCATTCCCACTAACTGCCTATCCAAAAATTTACTAATCTCAACCCTGGTTTTCATGCATTTACTTACAGTGGGTATTTATGCACTAGAAATCACCAGAGCAATTTTTATTATTAATTCATATATGTTTTTGTTGGTAGTTTAATCCCCAGTAAGTCCAGTGGTTTTGTAATGAGTGTGTTGTGTGAATATGGTTTTCTTCTGTTAAAAACGGCCCAATCTGCCTGATTGAACATGCATTTTTGATGTTTAGTTGAATATTTTAAATAAAGTTTTATTTGTGTGCCAAGCAAAAAATACGGTAATAAATTAGACTCAGACCAGCCTGAGTCTTGTGCAGAGACTTCACCGCTGCCAAGGGGTTCCCTCGTTGTTTCCACCCTCTAAGTACAAACAACAAGAAGAAAAACAGGTTTCTGAGTGGAGGGGAACTTTAAATATCAGCAGGCTGCTGTTTAATGATAAATCCATGACACTGTTTATGGTGGTAAAATAACACATGTCATTGTAATCTGCATATTACTCCACGCCTGCATGTTCTTGTTGCACTTATGTTGCTGATTACTTATATTACTGACTTGAGTCCTTTCTGTAGCGACCAATGTGTTCAGCTCCAACCTGTGGCTGCGTGTCATCCCCTCTCTCTCCCCCCCCTTCTTGTCACTCTTAGGCTGTTTCTGTCAATTAAAGGCAATAAAAGCCCCTGAATATATAATATATATGTGTGTATATATAAAAGTCACATGTAAATAGACATTTTGAAATGTCTTTAGATGTTTTCTTAAGTTGCAGTGCATTTGCCTTTGTGAGCCACTGTAAATTAGTATAGGATGATAGCAGAGCTTATTTTCCCCTTACAGGTGTTACCCACAATATAATATCTGTTTTTAGTCTTACTGTATACTGTAGTAAATGCACATAGCATTTATGTGTGACTAACACAGCAGTATCTATTTTAAGAAGGAAGACAGTCAGTCTGTCTGTTGGATTTCCCAACCTTGGTCTTCTGTAACAAAGTGAAACTACGAAATGTTGGATGTTCAGTGTTCAAGGCACAGAGTTTAACTCATTGTCTTCAAAGACGCCCAAGGTTGTGACCTGTGACCTAGACTTTTTCAAATGGTACAATTTTAAATAGCTAGCATGACATCTTCAGACTAAATGGAAATGCTGCCAAAGCCAACGAAATATCTTGAGCTTGGTTGGTTCTGGAAAATACTGAAATAGTAAAGCAAACTGTGCAAACTGTAGCTTATGCA